GAAAGAGGGGTACTCCTCAGTGCCACTAAATCTACATACAAATAATTGCACTTAAGACAGCTGTGCTCTATGGGGAAATTTTCAAGCTGTAAATAGACTCAAACGTCTGCCTTTGTGTTTGAGTGAAGTGGTTGGTCCTGAAAGCAATTTGACACATTTTATTCAGAGTTATCAGCTGCTGCTAACATAAACAGTTTTGAAAATCTCAAGTAAAATACATCTGTGATCATTTGGGCTGGATGAAACAGAATGATATGTGGCTATTTGGGAAAACAATGAGCAATGAGCATTCACTGGAGTTCAGAATTTAATATTATTCAGATGAATCAGTGAAAACATTGGTGTACTGCTATTTCAGACAGATAGGCTGGAGTGAAGCACATTCTTCTTTTCATCCCTATTAGCAAAGTGCAGTTCTTCTTCCACATTGTACAAGGCCTGCTGTTTTCTCTTTTTTTGTGTGTGTTTGCGTGTATTGTGCATTTTATAGTTTTACAGTTCGTATAAGGGGTCAAATCCTGAAAGATGATGAGCGATTGCTATGCATACTGACTTAAACACGCGTTCCAGAAAACCTGCCTCCGTTTAAGATTCAGTTGTCTTTACATACTGTTTATATCAATCTCATTGCCAGTTTTTTGAAACAAGGAGAAAGCAATTGCCTTGAATAACATATTGTTTCCTACTGTGTACATAAGTTGGAAAGCATTCTACTTCTTTTATACTGCAAAAGAAATTGTCTACAGTCAGTTATATTTTTACCTAGCAAGTCTTGTACATCTAGCACAGAAAACAGACTTGAGGAGGTTGGTTATTTTTCAGACAGGGATGAAAACGTAGGACTTTTGTTCTAAAAAATTACTAAGTGAAATAGAAGATAGAGCCAAAAGCCAGGACCCGCAGTTACTCCTGGGTTTGGAATAACTATGAGATTCTAGAATTGCCTGTAAGGTATTCATGAAACTTGAGATTCAGAAAGCATAAAATGCTTAACTCCAACTTCCTTGACATTTCATATCCTTCAATCAGTTTAGATGTTTGAATCTATGTAAGCTGACTCTGCAGTCTATGCTTTTATTCTGATTGATTCAATGTAACTAGTGACGTAAATGGTTGGACAGAGCAGCAAGCAAACTACATGAGAAGAGTGGACTCCACAAGGGTGTGCATTAGCAACTTTTTTTGGAGAGTCAGCTTTCCTGATGAAACAGGCTTATTCCTCAGTATTTTTCCACTCTTGTTTATACTGCATGAAGTACTGAGGGAGAACATTCTGCCTTGCTCATATTTTGCCGAGAAATTCTCTATTATTTGCAGATAGGCTGTCCTTGAGGGTTTAGCATGGATAATTTCATACCCATGCATGCCAAGCTGTTATCCATCTAGAATCTCATCATCATTTGCATGGTACCTACATACTCTACAGCTGTCATTAAAGTATTTCACATGATACCTGCTCTTAGAGATATATTATCATGTGCTCTTATCTTGGTTCATATTATATTTATCCTTAGAAGTTGTGGTTTTGCCAACAGGCTTCCTGCCTTGGTAAAGGAACTGACTCTATTAGTGAAAACTGTACAATGGTGCATACTGAAAAGAATGATAGTTATAAATAATGCCACTAGTGTTGCCTTCGTAAGGCGTGGCGACCTGGTTCAGGAACGGCACGGCGACCGACCCTGAGCCGCTCGGGCCATCAGCTCACAGACACCAATGTGGTGGACGGCAAATGGCGTTTATTGGTATGTAACACAGCATTACATACCTTGGGTTTATGACGTCACTTCCGTCTGCTTGTATCACAAACTAAATGCTATTGGCTACCAGGGGAGGGGCCCTATCTTTCCGTACAGCACGATATCTTCCGGCCGCCAGATCCTAACCACCTACACACTAGCTATTCTTGAGATTTGCTGTAGCTTTTTTAAGACATAGGATAATATTCTCTAAGAGTGGTAGAAGTGTTAGCAACTGTCTCAGATTTTACTGCCATAAATTAATTTGAGTATTAAATTCAATGACAGCAACATTTTGATAAGTTAGCGTTTTCAGCTTAATAGCATGGAAAACTCAGCATTAGATTCTTGAACTGGATGAGAAATACAGTTACTACTGCAGTATCAGCACTGTGAGATGGTGAAAAAGGTTTTTAGTGGAAATTTTCATTTTTCAAAGATTTCATACAATGCAAAGGAAAAACACTTTTCATTACCACAGTTGTACAAGTTTGTTATCAGCATTAAAAATATGTTTTAACTTCAAGCTTTAACTGCTGTCATAAAAATTATGCTGAAATCGGTTATAGCACATGCTTCTGTACACTTCTGTAAGGCCTCCTTACCCGATGGATAAATTAAATTATTTTGGAATTAGTCAGCTTAGCAAACTGTTTACTGACGTTTCCCCATTCAGTAACTCCTTTGTCAGGTGCTTGTGCTCAGTTACTTTTTGCTTGTTGTAAATTTGTCCTAAAGTAGCTAGGGTCACTGTGACTTTTGCTTGCTCATGACAATGGTCACTTAATCAGTCAAAGAAAGATTTTGTTCAAAACCAAGAATGTCTATACTTGAAGATATAGATGCATAACCCCTCCCCAGCACCTCCACACACACATGTAGGTATGTATGTAAATAGAATGTTGGAAGAGAGAGAGATAACGTTGAAAGAGAGTGAATGCAAGTAAAAAAATTTCTGTGAGCAAGAGCTGCTCTTCCACATTAAAGCTACGCTGTATTCCACATTTCTGAGTTGATCAGCAAACCAGGTATGAATCTGCTCTCTTTAGCCCACACCTTAGGAGCTATCACTTTAGAGAACAATCACAGAAACACTAGCAAAAGCAGCTGCTGTTTGAATAAGGGGCAATTAATAATTTTCTAGTGCTATCGCTGAACTACGTTATACAACCAGCATACAAAGCAACACTTAGCATTATACAAACCTTGCTGTTCAAAAAGCCACTTCCATCTCTCAGTAGGACCTCCTGTATAGAAGATTGGCTGAGCATCCTCAGACTGGGGCACCTTTCTCCAGCACACAAGAGAACTTCTTACAACTGTAGGGAA